ACGCCGATTGAATGGCGGTTTTCACCTGGGGTAAGCTTACATTCTTAATAGTTTTATGTATGAATGTCCTGTTAATTGTATACACTGTTTTTCATCTTTTTTGATCCTGAGGAAAGTCCTTGTTGGACTGAAACGTTGGTCATGGATGGTTTAACTTATTTCTAATAAATTTTGTTTTTTTATTTACCGTGAGCGCAGCTACTTGTTGGATTTTTATATATATATATATATATATATATATATATATCTGTATATATATATATATATATATATATTTACACTGATGTTTTTTTTTAACTTTATTTCTGATTTTCTACTTGCAGGGAGACTGCCTGCCAGCACAGATAGTACCCCTGCCGGCAGATACACAGGCACCTATTGCGGCCATGTGATCGAGTGATCACGTTGCTGCAGGGTCCTAATCTGCCGTGGGGAGACTCTCTGAGCAGACAGGCAGTCCCCCCAGACCGGAAAAAATGCTGATATCTGCCGGGGGAACGACGGCGATCAGGTAAGTACCCAAAGACCGTTATGACGGGTTCAGGACCGTCATCGGTCCTCAAGGGGATGTTTCAGATGACGGTCCTGAACCGTCATCGTTCCTCAAGGTATTAACATTCTGAAAGTGTAATACAACTTACAGTTGTTAATAGAAAAATGCATGCCACACATTTATATTATAGTGGCATACTTGCAAAATAAAAGTGCAACAATAGAAATGGTATGGTATTTCAAAGAACTCCAAACACATAGCAAAATAAATATATAAATGCAGCATACAATTTAAGTGCTAAACAACTTTGTAAACAGCTTCAACAACTTCGTAAACAGCTTAAATAACTTAAATACTTTCTTAAAGTTATTCTATCTAAATAAATTTAACTTTTTTTGCTTTGGCATTCGCAAAGTCCTTCAGTAATGATTCAAAGTCAATCTCCTGTGCCGTCTGATTCTCTATTGAGATCATGGCAAGTCTCACACGGCGTTCTTGGGACATTGAAGAACGCAGATAATTTTTTATAATTTTCAGCTTCAAAAAGCTTTGCTCTCCTGTGGAAACAGTTATTGGTAAGGTCAACATAATTCGAAGTGGAATTGCCACATTTGGAGCAAATCCATTCCTCACTGCGTAGGCCAAAATATCAACAGGTGTCATTGTACGTTTTATAACAGGAGCCAAGACAGCAAGTTCTTCACACAGTTTCCTTCCATCTACATCAGACTCCTTTGATTATGCATCGGTTAAGACATTCTGCAATTCCATGCAGAACTTCAGGAGTTCTTCTTTTTGCACATCTTTTAGCTTGTGAATGTCATACAAAAAGTGAAAATGCGTGGAATGAAATTTCAGCTGTTCATATCTTTCATGTACATATTTTATTGTTGTGTCTAATATTGTGAAGAAACATTCCACTTTAAATTTATTTTTTGATTCTTGATTGATTCCAAAAGTTCCACAACATCTGACAAATACATTGACTGGCTTTAACCCCTTAAGGACACATGACATGTGTGACATGTCATGATTGCCTTTTATTCCAGAAGTTTGGTCCTTAAGGGGTTAGATAACTTTGCTGACATAATTAAATCAACTTAATATGTTAAACCAAAGGATAATAAAACACAAGAATTTAGACTTGTTTAACTCTTTTGCCAAGGATGAAGCCTCAATTCTTGCAAGAGCAGCAAAATGCACATCACCTCCGATTTCAATTAAGGTGTCATACACTTTTCCAACATGAAACCTAAATGGCCAAATATCATCAATTGTGCATGACATCTAGTATCGGATAGCGGTGTTGAACCTGATAAAAAAATATATGTTTTCTGAAGAATGCCAAAAAATTTACTGGCATCCCTACAGCACATAGCAGCATAATTTACTACAAGATTTAAGGAATGAGCACTGCAGGGGACATAGAAAGCTCGTGAGTTCAGGTCCATGATTCTTTTTTGTACTTCTGAGTGCTTGCCCTTCATGTTGGAGCCATTATCATACCCTTGACCTCTCATATCACTGAGAGGTATCTTCAGTATTTCAAGCTCATTCAAAATTGCCTCTGTTAATCCTTCTCCAGATGAGTTGTGAACTGGCAGAAAACCAAGGAATCTTTCCTCAATGTGTATTTCAGGATTTGCAGTTGGTGAGTCTTCTTGCTTAACAGACACAAACCTGAAATTCACAGTCATCTGTTCAACAAGAGTGATGTCAGGAGTTCAGTCAAGTATAATGGAAAAGTACTTGGTATCCTTAAGCAACCGTAGAATGCGTCTCCGTATTTCTTTTGAAATTAAACCAATTAGTTCATTTTGAATGTCTTTTCCTAAATAATGCTGATGAATTTCTGAATTCTGTATCTTTTTCAAGTGGCTTTGCACTATCAAATGTTGCCATAATTTCTACAAGTTTCAAGTAATTTCCATTGTTTTCAGAGTACAGCGTGTCACTGCTGCCCCTGAAGGCCAAGCACTGCTTCCCAAGGTATTGAACAATGGCTACAAGCCGCTGAAGAACATTCTGCCAGTGCTGCGTTTCAGTTTCCAATAATCTTTGGTATGAATGATCAATAGTACTTCCTGACCCAACCCTTGTTAACAGTTCTGTCCAGTCTCCCATAGCAGTGAGGTGAGACACTGGGACACATTTTTCCAATCGTTGTAGCCTCCTATTGTCAGGCTCATTTTCATAGTTGTAAAGAGTTTACAACAAAAGCAAAATATTTTGTCCAGTCTAGGAGAATAACTAAGCCACTTTCTAACATGCACTTCACCATTTCCAAGGCGCCGCCTATAGTGGGTTGATGTAAACTGTCTCTTGGATGCATCTTTAGGAAATGCAAAGTGCTCTTTTTGCTTTGCTGGACCCTTCATAGCAATGGTTTCTTTTAGTGAGCTAGTAAGCGTATCAGGCCAGTCAGCTGGATCAAAGAAGTCTACCAGCGTGCGTTTTCCATTTTCATCTTCTGATGATGATGATGATTTCTGTGAACTCTCTTCCTCTGTGTTTGTATCACTTTCTATACCCAAAGACTGTTTGCCCATAGGTAAAGTAGAAGGGTGTTGTTCAACGTCTACAGTTTTACGATTTTCATTACTTTTGCACTCCATTTCGTTTACAACTTTTTGTACTGAATCAGGTTTAAAGAACCAATTTAATGATCCAGCCATCTTAGATGTGTCTTCTTCTTGGAGCCTTCTTTTCTTTCGGAAAGCAGCACCAGACAATTTCTTTTGTGCTGGTGGTGCAGACATAGTTATCAAAATAACTGAAGAATTAAATGAAGAATTAAAAATGGAGAGGGCAAGTGAGAGCTAGCACCCCCATGCACAGACACACAATCATATACCATCACAACATAATTACACAATTACACACAGTCACAAACATTCACCTACAGTCATACATAGTCAGTCACATTACAAAGTCGCATACAAAGTAATTCAATCTTCTATCTGGGTCCATGCAACAAAATGTAATGGGGAGTTACTCTGTGTACCCCCTCCTTCTCTTCACGCAGGGTGAACTATTCATATCGCCCCCTGTTGGCACGCTACTGAAGTGACAATGTTTCAGCCTCAAAATACATATTAGGGAACAGTTTTAAATTTTATGAAGCTACTTAAAGGACCACTATAGGCACCCAGACCACTTCAAGTTAATGAAGTGGTCTGGGTGCCAGGTCCATCTCTGTTTTACCCCCAGGGCAGACTCCTTCAGTCCTTGGCATGGGGAGCGGACCTCCAGAGCTCAAACACAAGCTGACTGCGATGGCGGAGGTAGCAGGCTTTGCCACACCGCTGTCATACACAGCCAGAGGGGAGAAACCAGTACCACTTTAAGGGAGATTTTCAGGTATTAGGGGGGGAAAGAGAATTGAAGAATAATAAGGGAATGAGAAAAAAAGAGAGCTGTTTTACCGCCACCAACAGCAAAATAGAAATAAAATGGTAACCTGCTTTTAACCTACAAAATACCAACCTGAACTTAACAACTATCCAGCTTTATCCAGCCATCCTGATATTTTCAAATCCAAGCAGCCTCTCTGCTCGATACCTGCCACATAACACCACTCTGGACTCTGCCTCAAAATAACTACATGGTGTTATTTCCCTGTTTAAGCAAATCTTATTCATAAAGGGGGCTTATTAACTTAAGTTCTCCTTTTCCTGCAACTTTATTATTCTGTCTAATGTGTCCTTCTATGTAACCTATACTTTTATATCTATAGGTTTTCTTGTTATTTACTTCCATTTCTAATTGTATTCTATTTGGGGCATATTGCCTAACTCCTGTTTTCGGTATACCTTCAACTTACTTGCCTACAATTTTTCTTACAGGTTATTCTTAATTCTCCAACCTATAACTTCATTTATAGGTTTACCTGTTATCCTATTTCCACTTTGACCTTTTTTGTCTAAACTCTTTATTTTCATAACCTAGTTATCCTTACCTGTAAATTAAATTATTAAGATCTGTTTGCTGTCTCTTTCCTATTATTTTAATTATCGGATATACTGTTTATTTTATAATGTCTGAATCCAGCAATAAAGATCCTGATGTTAACCCTGGCAATTGTCTCCTACCTGACCTGCACAGGATCATGACATAGTGCCACTGCCAATGCTTCTGCCAGAAGTAGCAAACATCTCAGCCTCCTGCTGAACTACTCCCTCAGACAGCATTACCTTCTTTTGCTGCCAATCACACACCCTCTGGATCAGTTTCTCCCTCCAAGTTGTTAGGCTAGTGGATATGAGTGCTAGCTTTCCCTAAATCCTTGGATCACACAGGCAATCTAGCATCAGTTAGGGAGAATTATCAATTCGCTCACATAGGCAAACTTTAAGCTGATCCTTCAGCCTCCTGACCAGAGTTACTACATCAGGATGTAGAGGGTCACCTTGAACAACCTCTTGCTCCCTAGATGGGTGAAACCAGGGATTACCTGTCCCAGATTGGCAGTGTTCAAGCTTACATTTTCAGTGGCATCCCTGAATGGTTTCAGGACTGCCACTAGCTGAGCGATCACTGTACAATTGTCTCAACCCAGTGGAGAACCAATACCAATGTACTGGTCTGATGCCAGACTATGGATTGCTCTCTGCTGCTCTAAAATCCTCTCCAGTATCTCCACAGTAGAGTTCCACCGTGTACTAACATCTTGTCACAGACAGTGTGTGGGAAGACCTGCCTTCTCCTGCTCCTCCTCAACAGTTGGCTATTAGAGATGTCGCGAACCGTCCGCGAACTTCTCGCGAACGGTTCGCCACGGTTCGCCATGAACTGTTCGCGGCGAACTCCGGTCAGCTGACACATCCCAGCCAATCTCCAGCAGACCCTCCCTCCCAGACCCTCCTACTTCCTGGACAGCATCCATGTTGAAGCTGCCTATATTAAAGTAATTTAAACATCATTTTATAAACACATTTTGTATTTTATTCAGAAAATTGCATACAAATGTTGATTATTGTGAAAATATATTCTTATTGTTAAATAAATATCTTCATGCTGCTTCATAACACAGCTAGGTATAGTTGAAAACAGCTGACACCACAACTACTATGTATGTACAGAAAAATGCCTTGCATAGAAGAATAGGTTCAGTTAGAACAAACTTTCTTAATATATTCTACATGTTGTACAAAAACAACGCACGCTTTCCTCGCCCGCTGGCCATGCTTACATTGGAATTTCCCCATAGGAAAGCATTAATCAATGGTTTCCTATGGGGGGGAAATTCTGACATGTGAGATACTCGGAGGATATCCAGCGTCAGATAATGGACCAAAGGTCCGTTTCGATACAGGAAGCCCTCTAATGGCTGTCTGGCAGACAGCCACCGTGGGCAGATTTAGAGCTGCAATGTACACATTGCAGTTCTCTGCAACTGCAATGTTTTGCATTGCAGTACTAAGTGCAAAGGGGACACAGCACTTAGACCACTTCGTAATAATAACCACTTCAATGAGCTGAAGTTGTCTGGGTGCCTACAATGTCCCTTTAACTATAGGTACTATTTAATAGATATGATTACACAAGTGTATTTTGTGATGCTGCTCATTTAAGAACATAATGTCCCTTTTCTTTGCTTTTTGAATACTGATAAAAATTTATAAGGTGCGTAAGCAACTGAGAGGATACTATAATAGTTGCACAAAAAGCTAAACCGAATGCTATGGGCCCTTTTTAACCTCTGCACTACTTGTTTTTTGTATTACATTTATTTCATAAATTAAATTTATAGTTAATGTTTAAATGTGTACAACCTAATTGAAATTTTTAATTTATCTTTTAAATATTCTTACTTTAAACTTTTATAAAAAATTATATGACATCTTTCTTGGTAGTATTTTAAACAGTGTATGAAATATTATCATAAAAGCAGAAATATCATTATGTGATATACAGGGAGTGCAGAATTATTAGGCAAATGAGTATTTTGACCACATCATCCTCTTTATGCATGTTGTCTTACTCCAAGCTGTATAGGCTCGAAAGCCTACTACCAATTAAGCATATTAGGTGATGTGCATCTCTGTAATGAGAAGGTGTTTGGTCTAATGACATCAACACCCTATATCAGGTGTGTATAATTATTAGGCAACTTCCTTTCCTTTGGCAAAATGGGTCAAAAGAAGGACTTGACAGGCTCAGAAAAGTCAAAAATAGTGAGATATCTTGCAGAGGGATGCAGCACTCTTAAAATTGCAAAGCTTCTGAAGCGTGATCATCGAACAATCAAGCGTTTCATTCAAAATAGTCAACAGGGTCGCAAGAAGCGTGTGGAAAAACCAAGGCGCAAAATAACTGCCTATGAACTGAGAAAAGTCAAGCTGCCACGATGCCACTTGCCACCAGTTTGGCCATATTTCAGAGCTGCAACATCACTGGAGTGCCCAAAAGCACAAGGTGTGCAATACTCAGAGACATGGCCAAGGTAAGAAAGGCTGAAAGACGACCACCACTGAACAAGACACACAAGCTGAAACGCCAAGACTGGGCCAAGAAATATCTCAAGACTGATTTTTCTAAGGTTTTATGGACTGATGAAATGAGAGTGAGTCTTGATGGGCCAGATGGATGGGCCCGTGGCTGGATTGGTAAAGGGCAGAGAGCTCCAGTCCGACTCAGACGCCAGCAAGGTGGAGGTGGAGTACTGGTTTGGGCTGGTATCATCAAAGATGAGCTTGTGGGGCCTTTTCGGGTTGAGGATGGAGTCAAGCTCAACTCCCAGTCCTACTGCCAGTTCCTGGAAGACACCTTCTTCAAGCAGTGGTACAGGAAGAAGTCTGCATCCTTCAAGAAAAAACATGATTTTCATGCAGGACAATGCTCCATCACACGCGTCCAAGTACTCCACAGCGTGGCTGGCAAGAAAGGGTATAAAAGAAGAAAATCTAATGACATGGCCTCCTTGTTCACCTGATCTGAACCCCATTGAGAACCTGTGGTCCATCATCAAATGTGAGATTTACAAGGAGGGAAAACAGTACACCTCTCTGAACAGTGTCTGGGAGGCTGTGGTTGCTGCTGCACGCAATGTTGATGGTGAACAGATCAAAACACTGACAGAATCCATGGATGGCAGGCTTTTGAGTGTCCTTGCAAAGAAAGGTGGCTATATTGGTCACTGATTTGTTTTTGTTTTGTTTTTGAATGTCAGAAATGTATATTTGTGAATGTTGAGATGTTATATTGGTTTCACTGGTAATAATAAATAATTGAAATGGGTATATATTTGTTTTTTTTAAGTTGCCTAATAATTATGCACAGTAATAGTCACCTGCACACACAGATATCCCCCTAACATAGCTAAAACTAAAAACAAACTAAAAAACTACTTCCAAAAATATTCAGCTTTGATATTAATGAGTTTTTTGGGTTCATTGAGAACATGGTTGTTGTTCAATAATAAAATTAATCCTCAAAAATACAACTTGCCTAATAATTCTGCACTCCCTGTAAAGTGGATGTGATGGAAATACATAAATAAATATCATCAAATACGCCACTTGCACATGACCCCACATTCCATGCTGTGGGTGCGGGCATGTTTGCTATGTCAGCCATGCCAGTGGCTGCTTGTTCTTAAATCAATGTTGATTGTGTTGGCACTCAATTACGTAATGGTGCAGGTATTGGAGGTATTCCCCAAAAGGACCTCAATTATATATACAAAAAAATATATCAGTTAATACCGCACTCACATGCATAAAAATATGCATCAGAAAAAAGGAATCACTGTGTAAATATGCAAAAATTCATTTATTGTACACTAGATACACCAAATTCATAAAAGTAGAAAAAAGACCACTATTGCCAAGTATACAAATTGATAATCTCTCTATGAATTCATCTATGATACATGTAACAAAATTTCATAATATATACATCCCAGACTATTTACAACTATATACAGCCCATGAACACCATATGCATGAAGCTGAAAGTTCATAAATATTCAGGTGGATCCGCCACTTAATTGCTATTCTGTTGAAAAAAAAAAAAAAACGAAAAAAGCCAAAAAATGAGAACAAATGAAAAAAAAATAGTAAAAAGGGAGAAAAAGTTGAAAAAAGGAAAAAAATAAGAAAAAATGACAAAAATTAAAAAACTGAAAAGTTCAAAGGACTGCAAGAAGTGCACTGATTTTATGATGATAAAATGGTTGGATCTCACCACAGATTATGTATGCTGTAGATGTGGACCATGGAATTAAATCTATTCACTTGCAGTCAGTTGTCCTATCGACTGTTAAAACAGAGAGGTGTTTAAATGAATATCCCTTTATCAAATGAAGCAGTCATTAGAAGCAATCCTCAAAAGGTTCAAAAGTGAGGTTACTGCATATTCATAGCAAATTCTGGCGGCAGCTAATATGCCTTGCAGCATGGCCTGCCTATCGGCTTACTTCCGTAATGGCATGATGACGTCATCGTGCGTCCTCACGTCATG